TCCCTCTCTTACCTTTGGGGTTGGAAGCACAGGGTCATCCGCAAGTCTACTTAGAACTTTTCACCCAGGGCAGCAGCACTTCAAATACCTGGGGATCTCGTTACCATGAAGGTTCCGGTGCAGAAGGTCTGAAGTGGGGCCTGGAGTCTGTGTTTCTAACAAGTTCCCAGGTGATGCTGGTCTGTGGACAACCTGCGTAGCAAGTGCCTCCTGGACTCCCGTCTTAAGGAATCGCTGGGGTTGACACAGCGACCTCCACCCTCGATTTGACAGGTGGGGATGGAGACCCAGACGCTACACAGTTTGCCCAAGACAACTCAGCAAACTGGTGGCACAACTCAAAAGAACCTGGTACATTTTAGCCTGTCTGGGGTCACCTGTTCTACATCAGAAGGGGAGCCAGCAGGCCATGAGTCTGTCTGTGGGAAGACTCAAGCCTCTATTCTTTGCTGACCTTTTACAGTCTATATACTTCTGGCCATAACAGCAGATACTCTGTGGTATTTGAATCAGAAAGACTTGGAGTGTAATGGCAAGACCAGACACATGACATTTTATTCCTTGCCGGAGCTGGGCTGGGTGTATGGTTGCAGATAAAATACAGGACGGTCAGTGAACCTTGAATTCCAGACAAACAGAGAATACTTTTCTAGTATAATTATGCCCCACATATACTTTGAGATATACTTACACTAAAAAAAGTACCTGCTGTTTATCTGAAATGCCAATTTAACAGGTGGTCTTGGATTTTTTATTTGCTAAGTCTGGCAACCCTAACAGGTGGGAATGAGAGACAGGATGTGGTGACAAGAACATTTCCTGCTTAGGGACCTTTCTGGTGGTGCAGTGGTTAAGAATCCGCCTGCCAATGCAGGGGACACGGGTTCGAGCCCTGGTCCAGGAAGATCCCACATGCCGCGGAACAACTAAGCCCGTGCACCACAACTACTGAGCCTGTGCTCTAGAGCCCGTGAGCCACAACTACTGGGCCCATGTGCCACAACTACTGAAGCCCGCACACCTAGAGCCCGTGCTCCAGAACAAGAGAAGCCACCACAATGAGAAGCCCGCGCAGCGCAACAAAGAGTAGCCCCCGCTCACCGCAGCTAGAGAAAGCCCACACTCGGCAACGAAGACCCAATGCAGCCAAAAATAAATTAATTAAAATTTATAAATAAAAAAAACCATTTCCTGCTTCATCGCTGTTGACCTTAAAGAAAACCCCAAGGACGCCGGCACTGCCCCGAGATGCACAACTTCTGACTGCAACAACTGTGCCCATCTCCTCTTTGAGTTCATCTCTATGAACAGAGCTTAATCTTCTTAACTAGCTATTATAATGTGAGAGAATCATATATTTACAGCTAGTACTATGAGTTGAACCATGTCCCCACAAAACTCCCATGAATTCCTAACCCCCAGCACTTCAGAATGTGAGCTTATTTGGAGTTAGGGTTATTGCAGATGTAAAGAGTTAAGATGAGGCCATAGTAGAGTAGAATGGGTCCTAATCCAATATGACTGGTGTCCCTTTAGAAAGGGGAAACGGGACGCAGAGGCTACCATGGACACAGGGTAAAGACTGGTGTCCTGCTGCCACAAGCCAGGGAGCATGGCCCTGCTAACACCTTGATCTTGGACTTGTACAATACGTTACATTTCTGTTGTTTAAGCCACTCACCTTGTGGTATGTTTGTCACCACTGGCCTATAAGCACATGCTGGGAGCCGGGAAGAAGACAGGAGAGAAGGAGAGGGAGGAAAGGAAACAGGTAAAAAACCTCATCAGCATTCCCACTGGCTATTTTCTATAGAACTTGAAAACCTCTGCTGAGGGAGGATGAGGGATTTAGAAACAGTAGATCACGTTGTATGAAAACCGTTACTGCTCTCCTAGAATTCACATTTTAAACACTGAGTTGAACGAGTTACAGGCCACTTAAAGAAGAAGCCTTAGAAATCAGAATTAACCCTGGTTATACAAACAGGATCCATTCCCAGGCACCTGCAGCCTTAAAGCGGTTTGTGGGGGGAGGGCTTTAAATTCGCAACCTCCACGGGCCTCGGTTATGAACTGCTTCTTTCCCGTGAGAAATCTGCCCTCCTCTGCAACTTATAAACCAAACATCACCACCCTGGGTTTGGTGATCAAGGCGCTCAAAACAAAATTAAACAGGCTACTCTGATTGCACCGTCTCTCTGGATGATTTGCTTGTCCTATTTCAAACAGCCCCTAATGGCAAGATTTAAATAAAAGTCAGGCTCCGTAGCAATAGTTGATCCTCTCTTTCAGTATGGATTTTATGTCCCTTCACCTCTACCCAGGCCTTCTTCTGGCCTGGAGGAGGACTCTAGGGGTAGACTTGCATCGCCCCACCCTAGAAAAATGCCGAACCTTGCAGGCTCCTGTCACACTGGCCTTCCTTCAGTGACTAGCGTGCGCCAAGGTGTCTGTGCCTCGAGGCCTCTGCACATGCCGATCCCTGTGCCTGGAACGTTCCTTCTTCTGCCCAGACCCCCTCCCTAAACCCCCCTACACCACCTGCACACACGCTCGGTTCAAAAGGCAGTTTCCCAGAAACACCTGGTCATCACCCTTTGATTTTTCCTTATCACACAACCTTGTATATTTCCTTCACTACCCTTATCACAACTATAATTATTTATTGTTTGCTGTGTATTATCTATTCTCTCCCTAATAAACAGTAAGTTCCGTGAGTCACAGATCAGACATGTTTTATAATTACTTTATAGTCCAGGCCTGACACACAGCAGGCACACAGATATGTCTTTATTAATCAATTAATTAATTAGTTAAAACAAACTAATTGAGGGCATGATAGGAACTTGGGGGGACACTCCTGCTCAGAAGCTCTGGGCGCAGCCCTGGAGCTTCACGTGAAGCCTTTGTTTCACGCTACGTGAGAGGGAAGCGTTTAGGATATCACTTGTCTCCCAATTTCTCTGGGAAAGTCTTTTTTCAAACTAAAAAAAAAAAAATCAACCCTCTGGTCATGACCTGGTTTTACAAACAGGCCCCTCCTACAATAAAGGCATGTCCCGCTCACATGTACTTCAACTGCCATGGTCCCCAGGACAACACTTCCTCCTGGTAGCTAACAAAGCAGTGCTGGGCTATGATCTCGCATCCCCTCTAAATCCAGGGACTTCCCTGGCGGTCCAGTGGGTTACGACTCCGCGCTTCCACTGCAGGGGGCACGAGTTCGATCCCTGGTCAGGAAACTAGGATCCCACGTGCCACATGGCGTGGCCAAAAAAATTTTTTTTATTTTAAAAATTAATAAAAGGAAATTGACTTTGGTCAGAAATGTAATGAAAATACGAGCACAACCTTTGATAGGTGGCTATCTCTTTATCAATTAATAAACTGGCATTTTGGCATTAAAAAAAGAAGCCTATGCATTTTATATTTACCAAAAAACAGGATTTATGGGTCATAAGAAGATGACCGAGGGTATTTTGGCAATACATATATAAAACCTTTAAAATGTACATACTACTCGACCCAGAAATTCCAGTAATAGGAATTTATCCTAAAAAATAATCATGAATGCAGGAAATCACAAGAATGTTTACTGTAGCGCTATAAAAGCTAGGAATATTCAACAATATGGGATTGAATAAGTAACTGTAGTAATCCCTATTAATAAATACTCTGTAGCTTTTCAGAATGTCTTATTGAATGGAAGAATACTGAAGGACATGGTAAAAGGGTTCATCATCTGCTAACAGCAAAAAACTGGTTATGACTCAAGATTCCAAAATGCTAACTGTAGTTTTTGGGTGATGGGGTCATGTGTGATTTTTATCTTCTCATGTTTAGCTGTATTTTAGAAATTTCCTGTGAGAGTCATAAATATACTCTGGAAAATGTTTATTTAAAAATAAACTGCAACTAGTCACAAAAGGACAAATACTATATGATTCCACTTATATGAGGCCCTAGAAGAGTCAAATTTATAGAGACAAAGTAGAATGGTCGTTGCCAGCGGGTGGGGGAGGGGAGAGTGGGGGTTATTGTTTAAGAGGTAGAGTTCAGTTTTGCAAGATGGAAACAGTCCTAGAGATGGATGGTGGTGATGGCAGCCCAACACAGTGAAGGTACTTCAATGTCACTGTACACTTAAAAATGACTAAGATAGTAAATGGTATGTGTATTTTACCCCAATTTTTTTTTAAACCAAAAAAAACTTAAAGAAAAATTTAAATCCGTAAATCATAAGTACAGCTGGGTCTAGAGGTGTCCTAGTTATTAGGATTTTCAAGAGACAGGAGTAAAGAAGGCTGAATTTGACCTTGGACCACACAGCATCAAACAAGACAGTGTGTGTGCCTGCCAGGCTGGCGTGTGCCTGGGGATGAGCTGGTGCTGCCTAGTCTCCTGACTACGGCGCTGGCCATGGCATTTCCTGTCTCTTCCTTCACGAGCGTGGAGTTTTGTCCCTCTCCTGCCAGCGTCCCTCGCTCTGATTCTAGATGAAGGGCCGAGTTGGCTGTCCCAGAGGGGTGACTTCTCCCGGAGCCTGGCTACAGGGACTGCAGGGGCAGGAGAGTACAGGAGAGACTCCGGCCACGTCCTGCAGAGACCATGGGTTGAGGGATTTGGCCCCAGCGACCTTCAGCTAGCCGCTGGTGGAGCCAGGCCAGGAAAGGAATCTGACCTCCAAGTCCAGACAACTCGCCTGTCCACTGCAGAATGAAGAGGGGAGGGCTGGACTCAGTGAAGAACATTCCACCTTTATTCACTGTGAGGGCACCGGCGATGCCCAGTTCCTGGAGGTGGACCCGAGAACCTCAAGCTTGCAGAGCCTCGGGCTGAGGGCTAAACGTGGCCCGAAGCTGCATCTTCACAGCAACAGGGAGTTGGATGCTGAGTCTAAGTATCTAAAATGATCATACACATACACAGGAAAAGGATGTTTTCCAAGAACTTTGGGGTTACCAGGGCCCGGGAAAGACAGAGACCAGTGCTTTTCTTACCTGCTGTAGGCACGCTAACATTATACTGAGGTAAAATAAATAGGAAGGCAGTCTTGGCGGTGACCTGTGGAATAGAGGGAAAAAGTTCCACGTTAGCTTCTTGTCCACATCAAAAGAAACAAGCAAAGCCTGCTACCAGCCCTCGGGCCACGCCTTTCACATCTCAGACCCACAGGCCTCTCCAATGAAGGGTTTCACCTAGAGCACAAGTTAGCACCATTTGTTTTTTTCCCATTTTCTTGAATGACATCCCTCCCAATACCTGCACTAAAAGCAAAAGAAACAATCCCAAGTCCTGGATGGCATCTAGACTTGTACTCGCTGCAGATGGAATACAACAAGGTGTGCTCGGCCGGCCGAGAGCTCACCAGCAAAGGGTGCAAATCTGTCTGCCATTCATTCATTCATTCATTCATTCAAGTGTTTATCAAGTTGGTTCTAAGTCCCCAGCATTGGTGAAGTCAGAAACTAACAGAAGATAAAGGTCACAGCCTTCCAGAGGTTTCCAGAACTTAGGACCTCGCCGAGGTTCCCCAGCACGCTGGCTAACTGCACCGTGGGCGGCAGCCCGCAAAGTTTCTGAGGCCTGAGCCTCAGAAACAGAGAATTCCAGCTGCTAATTTCACACACGCCCTATTGGGGGGCAGGACATAACACTCCACTCTGTTGGTCTGTTTATTTCGAAAGTGGCCTTTCAAATCTCGGTTGTGCTGTGGAAGAACTGAGGTCGTCGCTTGGTTATTAGTGGCCAGCTCAGTCCTCTTGCAGTTCAGCCTGCAGGGGAGAGACTACAAGGTGCAGGATTCGAAGCTTGGACTCAAGAACCGACTGCCTAGGTTCAGACGCTGCCTCTGCATTTGCCCACCTCGCAACCAGGAGCTGTGATCTTACACCTGGAGCCTCACTTCCCGTGTCTCTAAAGGCGGGATACTTGTGGTTCTCCAGCTGGTCTGGGCGGCGATGGCCCAGCTGTTAGCATTGTTTAAAGCTCCCCAGATGTTTCTGACGTGCAGCTGGGGCTGAGAAGCGCCCCCACACGGTTCTGGAGCAGGTGCGGAGGCCAGGTGAGGGGCGGCCAGACCCCAGGTCTTTTCTGGGAGGCCCCTGGGGACATCTCATCAGTAGCGTTACTGGTTCTCCTCTAAACAAAAAGATGTGAAGGGTGCACTGTGGGTGTGGAGGAAACGCACTGGACTGTGGCAGCAGCAGCAGAGAAATGGTTGGATGATGCCTTCCAGCCCCTCCACCAAACGCTGTACCATGCTCAAGGCACAATCTCTCCTTCAGTTTCATTCAGGAAACACACTCGTCTTTTAAGCTGGTGGGCTGAAGTGGACCTCTGTGGGGTTCTGGCTGAACAGTACCCCTTTGCCCCTTCCCAACATACCAGGACTTCCAGAGGAGACAACTCTCCCCAGCTGTGTGTTGTGAGGGTGTCACTGTGGTGACCATGGCCCTCCCAGGAGGATACAGGGAGCAGACCCCCTCCCCAGCCCATCAGACCCCCTCTCCTGGGCTCTGAATCTTGAGCGGGGATGGAGGAAGAGCTGGTTAGCCCTGAGTGCCTTCCAGAGTTTTCTGCTGGGGTTCCCACAGCCTTGCCCTGGAGCACAGACCCCATCACCTGTATGAACCCCAGACAGCCTCCTGAAGTTGGCCAGAGTCCATTCCTAAGAGACATCAGAATCCCGTGCGTAGAGCACATTCGAACCCCTGGGGGAGCTTCTAGAATCTCGATGCCTGGGCTGCCCCAGCCAATCAACCCTGCCCCTCAGGGGCATCAGGGAGCCGCCAAGCTCCCCAGAGCAGCCCACACGTAGCCCAGCCTGGGAGCCCCTCATGGGAGCCCCACCTTCACCAGCCTCGCAAAGCAGGCCTCTCTGGCCAGTCACTGTCTGTGTCCTCCAGAGAATTCATTTCATTTAATCAACTTATGTTTTAGGTCAATTTTTATTTTAACTTCAAGAGAAACACACTTTTTAAAAAGTGAAACAATTCAGAAATACGTAAAGTTAAAAACCAAATATTCACTCTACAGTCTTCGTTTTCCTCTCTCCACATGTATGGTGTCAGTTCTCTGAGAGCTTTTCCCATGCATTTCTACACTCGGAATTTATTTCATTTTACTCTGACATTATAACTTGGATTGTGTTTATGCCACTTGACAAGAGCTACAACTTTCTTTTCTAATTTTTTTTAATTGAAGTATAGTTGATTTACAATGTTGTATTAGTTTCTGGTGTATAGCAAAGTGATTCAGCGATATACATATACACATATATAAACATATACATACACATATATACTTTTTCAAATTCTTTTCCATTATAGTTTATTACAGGATATTGAATATAGTTACCTGTGCTCTACAGTAGGACCTTGTTGTTTATCTATTTTATACAAAGTAGTTTGTATCAGCCAATCCCAAACTCCTAATATATCCCCTTTGGTAACCATAAATTTGTTTTCTACGTCTGTGAGTCTGTTTCTGTTTTGTAAATAAGTTCACTTGTATATTGTAGATTCCACATATAAGCAATACTATATGGTATTAGTCTTTCTCCTTCTGACTTATTTAGTATAAGAGCTACAACTTATTAAATACTAGTTAAATCACTTTCTTAGCTCTGTTAATCTATTGGTTGTTACAGGAACATAAAGACCAAGGCACAAAAATATTCAGAGTACATGAAAGTATTCAGAGTATAGTGATACAGAAGACATGTAGGTCAACCTTTCGTTTACTGATGTCAACGTAGAGATAAGTGGTTATATAATAAAAACTTCCTATACATACTAGTGCTTTTCATTACTGTTTCCCACAGGGCTACCCCTAATGTTTAACACCGAAAAGCTTGGCCAAATAAAACGGGCTCACTGTGAAAGTGTATACAGATGTGTGGACTTTTTTTTTTTTTTTTGCATCCTTTCTTTTTATTGAAAAAGATTTTAGAAGATGGCAGTTAACAAAGGGCACAAAAAAAAATCACAGGGATATACTAGTGGAAAACAAAGACAAGATAAAACTAAGAATGCCACTGGCTTCTTTAATTGGTTAAAAGCACAAAATGCAACAGGCAGAAAGTCTGTTTTAAACAAATTAAAAAGCTGTGTTTCTAGACCTAGAAGACAAACTTATGGTTACCAAAGGGGAAAGCCAGGGAGAGGGGTATAAATTAGGAGTTTGGGATTAGCAGATACACACTACTATATATAAAACAGATCAACAACAAGGACCTACTGTACAGCACAGGGAATATACTCAATATCTTGTAATAACCTATAATGGAAAAGAATCTGAAAAAGAATATATATAGAGATATATATATATGTATAACTGAATCACTTTGCTGTACACCTGAAACACAACATTGTAAATCAACTACACTTCAATTTATAAAAAAGCTGTGGGCTTCCCTGGTGGCGCAGTGGTTGAGAATCCGCCTGCCAATGCAGGGGACATGGGTTCAAGCCCTAGTCCGGGAAGATCTCACATGCCGCAGAGCAACTAAGCCCGTGCGCCACAACTACTGAGCCTGCACTCTAGAGCCCTCGAGCCACAGCTACTGAAGCCCGCGCGCCTAGAGCCCGTGCTCGGCAACAAGAGAAGCCACCGCACCACACCGCGCACCACAACGAAGCCCCTGCTCGCCACAACTAGAGAAAAGCCCGTGCGCAGCAACAAAGACCACAGCGCAGCTGTGTTGTCTCAATTAGCCCCAAGTCAGATATATAACACCCACAAAAAATGGTATGTGAAGTAATGCTGTCCTACACAAGAAGTTGTACCCTGAATTAAGGGGAACAGCTATTGACACAGGAGTTAACACAACAGAGCATCAGCCTGTAACTGCTGGAAGAATCATCCCCCTTTTTTTTAGTGAGCACAGCCGTTTGGCATATGGGCTGGACAGATGCCCTTGGCCTGGCCCTGCATACCCAGTCAATTCTTGTTACTCCCAGTCGTTCTGTTCTGGAAGTTACCGTGATCCCAGCGACAAAGGACCCCTGCTCCTAGGGGTTAGGCTCCTAAAGGCCTCTGGTCCATTTCCATCAACCAATCAACATGTAACCTTGGTTTACGTGTGTTCCTGTTGAAAGACGCTGTATGGAACGCAGGCTGTTGAAGTGTGAACAATGAACCTGTGGCTCGCACCTGAAGGAAGCCCTTCTAACACGCTTATGTTCTCCGCCAGGCCCCTCCCGGCCTCCCCATGCTCAGGACCCCGAGGCGGCGGCCCAGTGCCACGCGTGAGGGCCATTTTATAAGCAGCCAAGTCATTGACAAAAGACACAAAGATGCAAGAACGTGGCACTAAACAGACGGCAAAAAGCCACTTGCTCACAGGAGGAGCTGGACCAGGAAGGCAGAGTGTCGCCGGGTTCCCCTTCAACCGGGGACATCTCGTTGGGTGAGCCACACATCTCACCGCCCTGTGCACGTCCACAGATACCGCAAAACCCGGAGATCAGGTTCTGAGGTCACATATACATGTCAGCGAGCAGCCCCAGTGCACACCCAAGAGACGCGGGAGAGTGAGGGTCAGCTGCCCTGCGGCAAACCCAAAGGCCAACGAGGGCCGAGGCTTTTTTCTTTTTTAACCTTTATTGAGGTGTAATTTACACACCATAAAATTCACCCTTGGTAAGTAGACAGCTTTATGGGGTTTGTCCTTCCTCGTTTTTAAACTCTCCCTTCACTGGAATGTAAGTTCTAAGAAAGTGGGGATCTCACTCATCTTGATTAACTTCAACCCACTGCCTGCAACAGTGCCCAGAAACAGCCCGTGCTCGGCAAGCACTTGATAAATGCAGACATGATTAAGCAGGGGAGCCAGTATTGCACTGCCACCTGACCCTCAGCTTGTCCTCTGCCCTCATTCATTCCCCTGTGCATGTCCCCTCTCTCTCCCTGGGGTCCGTCCCAGTGCTGGGCACGTTGTAGGTCTCTCATAAATGCCTATTTGATGAGCGAATACTGCAAGCAGCTATAATATTTAATAACCGCAGACGAATGCTTAACAAATGCTCTCTGAACATGATTCTAAGAGAATAGGACCTGGG